TTCAAATAAAGTATTCCTCTGCTCCTTATTTAAGATTTCAGTCGAAAATCTTGCTGTATCCAAGGGATTGCAGATTGGGCTTAATTAATATACATTTTTTGTTCTCACTTCATTGGATACCCTCACTCGATTCTGGATTTCGGATGTGAATTTCGTTCTGTCCAAGGGATTGCATTAACGGATAAGAGAAATGCAAAATTAAATATAATAGTCTTTTTCCTCTAATAACTATGCGTTTGAGTGATTTAAATAAAATTTTCTCGGAATTTGTCAGCACTTTTTCAAATTCGGAAGATGGGATTGAATCCTGGTTTTCTAAAAAGGCTAACAGAGTCATTCTTTGGAGTTCCCCTACCCTCCTTTTGTTAAAAATCATGACACTGCAAAATATCCCTTCCAGTAAATCTCGATAAGCTTTTTCGTTGTGATCATTTTCTGCCAAGACAAGTTTGGCTTGTGAAATAAGATTTTTAAGATACTGGTTCAGTTTCTGAAACAAAGAAAAACTACCTAAAAAAATGATGAAATTTAACTATCTCTATTACAAAATCACTTTTTTTATTGGTAATCTAAACTTTCATTCAAGTCATTAAAGATTATTTCATAGTCTGTATTTGGTGAGATATTGTTTTCTCTCTTACTCTTTTTTTTTAATTTTATTTTTAAATCAATAAAAAACTGTAAAACAAATAAACTTAATATAACCGAAACACAATTTTCTCCATCTTCAGGAGAATATCAAAACTGATTTTTTTATTGGAGATGTCAACTTGGGTACTAAAACGCGCATCTATGAGGTAAAATTATGTTTCGGTTTCTGATAAAACTTGTATTATAAAACAAATTTTTTCGACGATTATGCAAGAAGCTACTTTTTTCCCAATATTTACACAAGTTTCAAAAAATGTTAAATTTAAATTAATCTTGCGCTACAGGTATTAATGTTGGTTCATTAAATTTTTTGTAAGCCAAATTCTGTCCGGCTTCGCTCGAAACCTCAATTGCCGAGTCATTATCAATAAGTTTTATTAATCCCTTGAAATTTTCTATATAATCTCTGCGAGGATATTCCTTTTGAATTTCAATAGAACACGCTGTATTTACTACGTGCCAAAGAAGGGGACTTAAAACTTCGATTTTCAGCGTCATACTCTGCTATGTTTCTTGTAGCTAAAACCAGTATTTTAAACATTTTAGGTAAGAGAATCTCAGCTAAACTAAGTGTTTTATTATTTTTGAGTGTTCTGACGCTAATGAGTAAACGAGCTAATCGTCTCATGTTCCGCTTCGCTACTACCAAAAGAAGTTTTTCTTCTTGATTTTTTATATAGCGCCTACCAACTTCACAGATAAGTTGATCTTTCTTAGCAACCAACGAAGTTTCATCTGCTCGTAACATGTTTATAAGACCACTAACTTTTAAAGTATCATTTGGTCGAAAATTCCCAACCATTACGGTTTGACCTTCAATCTGTGCTTGAAAGCGTTGACTGGATCAGAAATAAAGAAACATTTTTTTCCGTGGCGACGAAGGCCTAGCCTTGACAAAATTTGCATACAATATACTCTTCAAATGGCTTTTTTTTTGTTTGTCATTACAGGTACAATATTTGATGTCGAAAAGTTACCTTCCCAACGAAGTTTGTCAATCAACTTAATCCGTTTCTTCGATTTCTTCTCTAGCGACAAAATTTCCTGTACTTGGAATTCGTCCCAGTGATTACGCTCCATGTGCCTTAAGAAATTTCCGACATCTTGATTACAATATAGGCATTGATGTTTTCTCCTAACATGTCGAGTTTTTTCTGGTGTTTTAACTTCGGAATCCAGATTGTCATTTTGTCTGAGACTGACACAGTAATTGTGGTCAACGCTATTATTTTCTTCGGGAGGTAAACTTGGTTCTTTTGTTTGCAGCGTAGTATATGTACTGTTGGGCAATTCTTGACGCAGTTCAATAGGGCTGGCTATCCAAAAAAAATCATTTTCTCTGTATCCACATTCCCAAGAACTTTCTGCTTCGGATTCTTCTGGTAATATATATTCCGAATCGGAAACTATTTGTCATATCTACAAAACAAAAATTTAACAATGTAAAGAGGTTACGTAATTTTCATTTTTCACTGATAATTCCATACATTATAACAATAACTTTAAAAAATATATCTGTGATTTAAGCCAGATACCAAAAATGCATTTTTTCGAGAAAATTTCATTCATTTAATTCATTTTCTTACAACTCATTTTTTTACAAGAGTAAAGTAACCTTATTTAAAAGTTTTTAGCAAAATGATATTTCAAAATTGGCTCTAATTGTTTTCATTAAGTTTGGATGACAATATTTTTTTGCTTCTTTGGTTTAAAATATCTCATTCAGAACTCATAATCTGAAGTAGCAATTTGCTAAACACTTTAGAATAAGTTTGCTTTACTATTGTAAAAAATTGTTAACGGTTTGGACACTCTGTATACAAAATAATATTTTTTCGTCAATCAAAAATTTTGATAAAGAATGTCCTTTTCTTCAAAGGCGAAAGTTTTTGTCCGTTTGACATCTTGTTTACCACATCTGAAATTCAATATTGTTTTTATTCGGAGTTCAGTTTCAATTTTCTCAAAATTTGAAAACAAACTTACTTAACTTAAATAAGAAACACGGGCACTATTTTCAGCCTTTATTTCTAAAACCAAAAAGTAAATGTGACGTATCATCTAACTGCAGTAAACTAGGAAAATACTTGATGACAAGGTTATACTGCAAATTGCAATTGCAACCGGTTTTTGAAAAGTTTACATTTATCTCAGAAAACATGCATTTTCGGCCCTTTGATTGATTGATAGTATTGTGTTGCTTGCTATACATACCTGAGAAAATATGAAGCTAATACAATAATTATAAAAATTCCTATCTGCTAGGCTCTTGTCTCGAGCTAGATTCAAAATACGTTTACTTCTACGATTCATTGTTAAGTTACGCCGACACAAATTTTTACAGTTAATGAAAATATTCAGAAACGTTGGGTTTAAGAGGTCCCAATGTAGCCACTAAAAATAAAACTATAACGCGTGGTCAGATGGGGAAGCCAACATAACCTGACAACATATTTCCAATATACACGGTAAATTATGGAAGTCAAAGTAACCGTTGCCAATATCGTCACTATATACACATAAATTGGGGAAGTCAATGCCACCGCTAAATATATAACCACAATACAGACACAGAAATCGATGCTAGAGACACAAGCGGAATCTCGGTGAACCACCTCGTATAATTTTATCCAACTAACGTGAAAATTGACGTCCGCAATTTTTAAGTGTTTTTGAATAAGTGGTGCTCAAATAAGTGTAATGCCGACCTAACTTTAAAAATTCAAGTTGGCATCCGTATATCGGAGTTCACTTTGTCCCGGATGTCACCTTAACCGAGGGTTTTACATGGGAGCATCACATATATATATATATATATATATATATATATATATATATATATATATATATATATATATATATATATATATATATATATATATATATATATATATATATATATATATGTATATATATATATATATATATATATATATATATATATATATATATATATATATATATATATATATATATATATATATATATATATATCTTCCGCGTTTTCTGGTTTAACGATCGAGGCGAAGTAGGGAGCACCTGGAACAAGAAAGTATACCGCTGATATTGCATCTTCACTTTTCAGTTCTTGGAAGTCAGTTACGACAAGAGGACAAGCTGTAGTGTTTTTGTTAATGTTATAGTCTATTTCGGAAAGAGGCACGACAATAATACCTGATTGCAGGTAGTAAAGTCCAGTCAGAGCAATTGTGCGGTTACGTCATAGCATCACATCGTTGTCTAGTTCATTACTTTGTTTAAAAGTTTTGAAATATGCGTCAAATCAAAATTTTTAAATTTAGCAAGTATTTACTGTCTCCATACTTAAAACCATCTTATTTTTATGAACGAGCAATTTAAAATTATTAAGTGATTAGGTACTTTTATGTCTTATTGTAGCGTGTTACCGACGCATTAGATATTTCTCTAAAATCGGTGCATAAGCTTGTTTTTGACGGTCGGGTAAACAGTTTTCGAGAAAACAATTTTTTTATGGAAGCAAAAATAACCCAAAAAAAATTTCAACAGTTTCTGTGGGTATCGACTTTTATTTATTTGCCATATTTGAAGTCGATTGCTGCAAATTTGAGACACCTATTACACTCTTTAATACAGCACAGAATATCCCGCACACAATTTGTGAAAACCTTAAATACAAAAGTGTTAGCCGTCCATATAGCCTACATGGCCATGTGAAAGAATACTGTTTTAGTTCTGATCAATTTTCAGTAAAAGAGGAACTCAATTTTCAGTTTTTTTGCAAATACCAGGCTTGCCCTCTATGTTTTTGAAAATTAACAACAATAAGAGTTTATAGCACTGCATCTCGCGGATCTTTTTGTTCAACGAACGGTTTTCGTGCAAAGACTTTTTTTTAAACCTTTGCAAACACAATTTTTAAATTTTTTAAAATGCTTTCCGACCCCCAGCCCCACTAATTTCAAAACGTTCCGTGAACTAAGTTCTATATGTGTACCAAATTTCAAGTGCATAGCTTCAAATTTCGGACATTTATCAGTAAAACATTAAACAGTAAAAAAAGATGGACGCTGGGGTCCGATAGCGGCCATTTTTTATTGAATTATGTATCTCATAGACTGTTTAAAAAGAGCTAAATATAAATGCCGTAGGTCAAACCGCTGGAAAGTTAATGCCGCGTCTACAGAGAAACGGAGAACAGAGGACAGAGAACAGACAAAAAGTTTTTTTTTCGACGCTGATTCCATGTGTGTCAATGGAGAATTCTGTAATACTTTTTGCTGTACAACGCACGGTTACCGAGATATGAATTTCGTTACCAGGCGCTTATGCTTTCGAAAAGTTCAATTTCATCGATTTTTGGAAAGTAACAAGACACTACGAAACCGTTGGAGCTTAATCAATATATTTCATCAGACAAACAACCACACATTACATTCCCATGTGCCCGCTCGTCATTCCAGTTCGAAATCTTCCTGGAAAACGTCGTGTATTTCTTTAATCATGTCCGTTACCACCATACTCCGTCCCATTTTCCCGAAAGCTCGCGAATTGCAGTCCCTGGTAAGTTTACTGGCTGCGTAGCACGCCACTCCCGGTTCCCATCGTTTCTCCAAAGCCCAAGCCAGAAACGTCGACATGGCACCTCCCAACAAATCGCCTTGTCCTCCGCAACGTCTTCCCGAACCACCGCCCGAGATCTTGATGCTCTTCCCTAAGGTGATGATTTCGTCTTCGGCGTCCTTGCAAAAAATCACGACGTTCGGGCCCGTAAGTTTGAGAAATTCGCTCGCCTGTTCGACCTTGGTGCCATCGCCGTCGTTATCACCGACCAGCCGCTTGAATTCCATCTTATTGGGTGTGAGAATCACGACAGCAGGGTAATTTTTCAAGATCGCGGGATTTTTCGCCACGAAAAACAACCCGTCCGCGTCTATAATTATCGGTTTGCTTTTGGCCCTGCATACTTCAACTGCTTTCTCGAACACCCGCTCGGTGGTATTCAGTCTACCCAAACCGGGACCTAAAAGGATCACGTGCAATCTCTCGAGCCACGGTTCGATTTTTTCTATCGCTTGTGGGTCGTCTAAATGCGGAAGAACCATCAGTTCGGGACTGTACGACTTGATTACGGATGCCGCGTCTTTAATAGTGAACACGTAAGCTAAGTCGGCACCTACTTTCAACGCAGCTATAGCGGCGAAGTAGGGAGCACCTGTAACAAGAAAGTGTACCGCTGATATTGCATCTTCACTTTTCAGTTCTTGGGAGTCAGTTACGACAAGAGGACAAGCTGTAGTGTTTTTGTTAATGTTATAGTCTATTTCGGAAAGAGGCGCAACAATAATACCTGATTGCAGGTAGTAAAGTCCAGTCAGAGCAATTGTGCGGTTACGTCATAGCATCACATCTTTGTCTAGTTCATTACTTTGTTTAAAAGTTTTGAAATCCGTGTCAAAAGACGCGTCAAATCAAAATGTTTAAATTTGGCAAGTATTTACTGTCTCCATGTCTCCATCTTATTTTTATGAACGAGCAATTTAAAATTATTAATTGGTACTTTTATGTCTTATTGAGCGTGTTGCCGACGCATTATATACTTCTCTAAGATCGGTGCATAAGCTTCTTTCTGGAGGCATCTTGAACATAGTTCAGACCAGTATCGCAGCAAACGGAACACCCCTTTATAAGGTACACGAGCATAGGATACGGACACCAATTTATGCTATGTACCCAGCAGGTATGAAAAAAATTTGAAAGTGTCCCTCTTTCCAGATGAATAATATAATTTGTAGCACTGCCTCTTTGTACGTAAAGTCTAAAATCTGTATAACCTTTTTGTAGTTTTTGGATAAAAAAAATTCATTCCTTTTAATAATTACTTTTCCTAGCCTATAGGACAACATGTCACTATAGAACCGCTACGCAAAAATTTACACGAAATCAATGGTATTGATATTTCGCATGGTTCATTAATTGATGGATTAAAAAGGTTGATGAAACAACCATGCATTGCACATTTTTAAGAGAATACATGAAAACCAAAATGTTGCCTTTTCATTCAATCCAGTGTTTTTGGACGAGACTTGGATAATTAGAAAAAGCGGAGTGACGATTCTCTACAAACAGTTCAAAAAAAAATGGTGAACGAGTTTTGTGGAGTATGCCAGTCTTATTTTTAAATCGGGTTGCAAATCAGACTACCATGATTCAATGAATACTGAAAATTTTGAAAGTTGATTTATATTTCTTTTTTATGGGAAAAGTACACTTTTTGTGACCTATGAACAAAGATAAAAATGTTAAGGTTTGTACCCACGGAAACTATCAGTTACCCAATACTAATATGCTTTGGGAAAAAACTACCTTATGTTTTTTTTTTTTACTTGTTGTTCAGTCAACAACTGAACTAAGATGAATGTTAATTAATTAATTAATTAATAATAATGGACAATGCATCTTATCACTGCGGACTTACTGAGCCAATCAAAGGATGAAATTCTCTCGTCGAATGGCTGCAAAATAGGAATATTAGCCAAGTATAATCGAAGATCAGCTGTAGATGTTAGTGAAACAACACTTGCCAGAAAAACAGCATATTATTTCAAAGTATAATCGACAAGTTAGATATGTTATAGGTTCCACCAGACCCGTAACATCGAATGCTGTACCGCGTTTATGGACTGAACCACTTGCTCAACTACAATAATAATACTTCTGATGGAGTATTCAAAACACTTTCACCTGAAAAATGGAACACACAGAGCGTCTGATAAGTGAGGCTTGGGAAAGGAAAAAGTTGATCGATGCATCTAATATTCTCCAGTTGGTATCGATAAGCATGAATCTGATTCGGAGGAAAATATTTTTTCTGATGATGACTAATTTTTGTTCCCAATTTTTGCTCGTTGCGTTATGGGTTTTCGTTGTTGATACATTGGGAGTTTTTCAAAAATAAGCCTATGCAATTGATATTTACTTTCTCCCATATATTTGATGCATTTTATTTTGTCCGTTCTTAGAAATACGCCACTGAACCAAGTTGCCATAATCTCATTATAATATGGCATTTTTTTGCGAATGACCGTTTTATGGCCGTGTTTCTAATAGGTTCTACAATGTATAATATGATGACTAATACCCTTACAAAATAGAATTTTAATTTATTTTTTACTATTGCTTATCCGCACTTATTTTAAACTAATGAATTAATTTAAATCGGAACTCATCTAAAATGGTAGCAATGTTAACTGCACAACTGCTCTAACTGGAGTTTACCACCCGTGTTTAGGTCAATTTATGGGTTTTGCCTATTATTATCCATTCAACAAACAAAAATTAGGGGACAAACATCTACACAGTTTATTTATTATCTTCTGAACGTAGTAATAAAAGCAATATAATTTTTAAATTAAACTTTAAATTAATACTTTTTTATTTAAACAATTTAAATGTATCTAAATTAATATTAGTAACCTATCCCCGGATTATGGCTGAACCCATTACGACAAAGGAATTATATTGTTCATTTTTGATCTATGCAACTTCGATGTAAGAAGTTTTATCCTGACCCTTTTAATAAACTCTGTAGGTCACTGTCGAGATATAAATGACGACCCTGTACATTGTATGTATTATTTTTTATCAAACACTTTATGAAAAATACAGAAATAAAATTTTAAAAAATCAGATCTCATATATCATATATATGGCCAAATGTCCAAGGAATCTATAATTTTACTGTGTACTTGTCCATCAATATCGTGAACAGTAATAGTTATAATAGTAACCAATTTTTTTATAGACTTTATACTGTGTAACTAGAGTTATTCTTGAAACATTGAAAAATTTCCATTTCTATTCCCTAAAAACTTCTCTCCAAACGAAAATCGAAAATCGGGGAGTAGAAATGAAACCGGCTGGAGAGGTCCTGCATTGCCAAATTTCTCAACAACATTTAAACCAATGAAAGTAGGTAATTTAATTTTATGCCCTGTCCCTCCTTAATATATTATTCTAGGTTTGGGAGAATATTGGATCTTTTACTACAGTCCATTGTTTGTTTGACCGTGGTCCATTGTCGATGTTGGCTTTTTGTACTTCATTTTAATTGTATAGAAATAAGAAAGTATTTGGTTCGTTTTGGTTAGTTTCTGTTTGTGGTTGAGTTGATAGAGAAGAGAATTATTTAAAAATACGCACATGCTAGAGGGAGAGTACAACTTGGCAAAATGATAACAAGAAAAGTCAGCGCCGAACAAAAGGATCTGATGATTTCGTATGTAACAGAAAAATCTCAAATATTAGTGTTTACACCCACAAGCTAATGAACAAGAAGTTCAGTCATAGTTAAATTTTTTGTTAGAAACCTGAAACCGTTTGATCAGGCACATCTCTTCCAATCCCAATCTCCTCCCGAACCTCCTCACGATCGGTGTTGATAACATTATGCCACTACGCAAGTTGGTTGGTTGATGATTATTGAGATTTTTCGGTAGATATTAATTTAGTAATAAAAAAAATGTGACTAAGCAAAAAAGGCAAAAGAAAGAAAAATCCATTGCATATGCGACAAAGAACACATTGGAGAGACCGGACGAAAAATATCAACTAGGCTCAAAGAACACGAAAGAGCCTTACGACTATGATACATAAACTCATCAGCTGTTGCCAAAGACACTCATGAAAAAGGACATAAAATATTATTCGATAAAACTAAAATTCTTGCATGTAATCAGTTCTTCTACCAACGACAAATCCGAGAGTCTATAGAAATCTATAAACAACCTAACAATCTTAACCGCGACTCAGATCTCTACCTGTCACGAATTTGGGAATCAGTCATCCGAGACGGCGTTTATGCCCCTCATTTAGCTCCGCCCCCTTCAAACAATATATAAGCAGGTACAGAGTAAAATACGGGCCAGTTTCAGTCAAGCTCTAAAGAAGCCAAGAGGATGATTGGTGAAACGTCAGCAATTTCGTCAGCAAAAACCGACGCAGGAGGAATCCAGAAGTTTTGTAAAAAGAAAAAAATGTGTTTGTGCGTAATTCATGGCCAATAGAATAGAAATGTCTCGACAATACGTCAAAATTTTTGGGAAACACGCTCTTTTTTGGCTATTTAGCCACAACATTTCTATTTCCTAAAATTCTAGAATACCCTAGAGTTAATGGTGGAGGGCAGGTGCATTCCCTGCACGTCGGCAACCGAAAAGCGCTCGATAAAGTCAACATAACATTCTCATTGCGAAATTGCCTTAAGCTTGTGCAAGTAAAACGTTTGCGATGTTTTGCCTGATATATTAATATAATGATGAATATATAAACAGCGATAACTAACACTCCCGCTTATTTTCGATTTTCGAATACTCTTCACCAACTTCGGCATGTACCAACTGGTTATAGAGCCCACTCGGGTATACTGATAACTCTAGTTCGCTTATTCAGGTACTGGTCACCAATAATTTATACGTGTGTTTTTTTGGACCTTTAGAGATTTTTCGGCATTCGATAATGAATTGTTTATGAATAGTCTTAGATCAGTTAACTCGGATCTTTTACACTCTTGCAATAATATAAACGTACAAGTTTATTTTCTTGCGTATAGTATGAATTATTTATTTGATTGTCATACTCCATTAAAAACAGTTTGAATTAAGAGACCCCGAGCCCCTTGTTACCGAAAACCTTAAACTTTTAATAAAACTTCACGAAAAGGATATAAACGTCTCATGTCAGATATCGCTTTAAACGAGTATAGAACATTAAGTAATGTTGTGGGCATATTTGGTGAGTACATTTAAGCCTGATCCTATATATTGTTGTAGTACTTTGAAGAGAATTCAAGTGCACAGTAATCCTACTTTAATTACTGAATACAATTTAGGCCAATCTAATATTTTTAATCTTGCTTTTACTTCTTTTGGAACTGTTGTTGCTATTGATTTTCGGTTTGTGTCTGTAAATCAAACTAATAAACAATTAGGTCCTAATTCATTCCGTCTTGCTAAAGTTTTCCGGGAGGAAGTCAATCAAATTTTGGTTAAAATTAAAACTAATACTCAGCGCTTAGACAACATTGATGTCAAAATATTTTTTTTGACCACTCCGTATTTAGTCGATAATATCACTTTCCATTTAACAAGTTTCTTTTGTCTAGGGTTTTCCCGGACTCTTGGAAGCAAACTGAAATCATACCCCTTCCCAAGAGCGTCCAAGTGGCATTAATGATTTTAAACCAATCAGTTTGTTGCCAACCATCTCAAAGGTTAATTTTTCGAAGGAACTTCCACAGCCGACTGTAATACTATTTTGATCATCAACAACCGACGCAGGAGAAATCCAGAAAATTTGTGAATAGCATCTCAAAGGTTATCGAAAAAATTGTTGCTAAACAACTTCGTCAGTACTTATAACAAAATCCTCCCAGACACTCAATCGCGTTTTTGATCTCTTCATAGCACTACTTCTGCTTTGCTTCATATTACTGATGTTTTATTCAGAGCAGCCAATTCTAAACTAAACTTGCGTCCGACACCTTGAATCACTTCCTTCCCTTAGCAGAACTGAAATACTTCGCGATAAAGGTGCAGCTCTTTCATATTTTTTTTAAATTTTCTTTGTCAGAGGCACCAAAGAGTGGTTAGAGGAAATACTCATTCAGATGCAATTGCTTTGGGGAGTGGCGTTCCCCAATGAAGTATTCTGGGAACTATTATGTTCTTAGTTTATGCAGGCGACTTCTTTGCTTTTCTTAAATTTTGCAAATCTCGTCAATACACCGATGATACTCAGTTATATTTATCTTTTGTTGCTAGTAAAGCTTCCAATGCTATGTTATGCAGATGTTATTATTTGGAAATAAAAGGGAAGAGATCTTTTAGTTATAATGCGGTTAAAATATTTAATGAAATATTGTATACCATTTCTTGTATTTACGATGTATATAAGGGTATAATTTGGTGACAATTACGGTGTTGACGGTATTTTCTTGGTTCTTGTGGTTACAGGGAAGAGCACAATTTGTGAATGTCGCCACTCTTGCATTAAAACTAATATTGTAATATTATGATTATTTACAAAGACAGCTTACTATTACTGTTATTATTTATAGCTGCTAAGATTCGTACGTACACTTAAACTTCTCATAAGTTTCTGGTCTTATGGCATTTTTGATATGCAAATAATCGATTAAAGAAAGAATTGCGTATGGAAGCCTAACTTGGGCTGGCACAGACACTGGCCTTATCGTATTTTTGATATGAAAAAGAATTGAGAATAGAGGCCTTAATTAGGCTGACACCGGCACTTTTAAAAATAAAAGAGCAATTTTTATCTAAGTGTTGAGTTAAATCTTAATATTGCGAGCTCAGGATTCTACAGCGACGTTTCCGATTAGTTATGTATCTGCCCTAAACTATAATATAAATAACATATTTTAATAATATTTTGCAAAATATATAACAAAAATTAGCCCCCCCACCCAATTCCAAAAACAAACTCATTTTATGTATCTCAATATTTTCCAAAAAATATTTTCTTGTAATTGGAACCCCCTGTATTTTTATATACCGATTAATATAGTAAATTGTACTCTTTTCAACAGCTGATTGTTGTTTTGCTACATATAAATAGAGCAACTGTGTAGACTACAATTGCCAATACCGAAGCAACAAGCTTGATACTTTGAAAATCGAAATTTCGAATTATTTTACCGAAAAAAAGTGACAATTTCAAAAAAGTTACTTAATCACAACTCTTTTAGGCAAAGTGACCTCTTAAATCACATCAAAACGTTTGTTCACAAGTGAGGAAAAATATTCCTGGTTGCATATTACGAGTACCAATGTTTGAATGTTTTCAGTGTTTCCTTATAGCATTTAGCAAAAAAACACAATTCGTATAAAAATACACACATATTTTACATACTTTAAAAATTGTGCCTCGCAAAAATTTAAAAAAAAACTATATAGCCATTACATCGACTTACCGGTAAATTCGATGCTCCCGCCAAAAACACCAACTCGCCCTGCTTGACCTTTATGCTTGCCGCTCAAAAGAGGCGGCGCTAAGTTTTTGGCCTTAACAATTAAAGAAGTGTCAGAAACTGTAACGGCAGCCATTGTTCCAAAACACAGGGTCGGTGTAGATTCAAACAAGTTTAAACATTCACGAAGATGGGTTTTTAGCAGACTTTGAGAGTACGTGAAGGTTTTTAACATAGCAAAACTTATAGGTTAGCCTATGAATGAAATATAAAAATATCATATTTCCTCTTCGGTTTAAGCAGAGTACTCTATCGTTTCGTAGTTCAAATTAGTTCCAACGTGAAGAGAAATTTTTATTTCACTCTCCTGCGGCTCCATCTATCAATAGGAATTTTAAATATCTTTAAAAATTATAAAGGCAATAAAAAAATCTTATACGAGCCTAAGCAATAAAAAATAGGCATATCTAACATCCACAGCCCCTGATTACCAGTTTTGATAGACACTGCTCATTAACCTTTTACCTCTAATTCCCTACAGCTGACGTCATGACCTTATACCAGATGTTTCTGACCCGTGCAATTTTTCTTAGGTTAGACGAGAATTTACTAATGGATTCTTACAAGTTTAATATAAAATAGGAATTTGCTAATTGAGTTTAGAGCGGTAGGTATTTAACTTAATCAGTACAGATAACCGTGGTTTAGCCGCAGTCAAATCCCATGAGCTTACGGATATAGAAAAGAAAACAGTATAAAATCCAGAAATAACTCAGCGAACAACAGCGACAAGTAGTTGGTTACTTTTCTTTCCGTTTGACTAATTTGTTGCGCTTTGCTACTCCGCTTTGATTCACAATCTGTAATCCATGGTATTTCCATGGATTATAAAATCTTTGGGACGACCACTTTCTTTTCATTGCCCATGAATGGAAAAGGTCAACTGAATAATTGTGAATTGTCAGTCAGCTGATTGTCTTGTGATAAATTTCCCTAAATTCTGATAAAATTTCCAGGCATCTATTTGAGTTTGGCGTGTGAGGTGACTGAAGGAACATGTAAGTTTGTAATTGGGGTTAATGGTTTCCATTTTAGAAAAAAATACCACGCTACAATATTTACTCTAAGACAGACAACATAATATTGATTTTTCTCTCTAAACGACGGGTATTGAATGTTTTAATAGTTTGAAGTAGGTTTTTTGGGTCTAATTGATTCAGTGTGCAGAGGGATTGTAGGGCCTTTGACTGCCTAGTTTAAAAACTATCATAATACTGTTTTACTTCACATTAGCTTAACAAGGCGTAGTCCAGTTCGTTTAGTTAGTATCACAATTTCAAATAAGCGTTAGGAACTTTTGCATCTCGTGCCAGTGGCAACTGAAGTCAGCTGACTTGGGCGCTTATCAGTGATGGTGATCCAAATTAGAATTTTGATATTCACGTGACTTTAGTTTCGACCAGCAAAACTTTGGTTTTCTGAATATTGAAAAGGATTGTATTTTTTTAGACAATCAGCCATTATGTCGAAATTAGCAAAAGTAGGTGACGAAGAACGCGAGAGTGAATATGGATACGTTCACATGGTTTCTGGACCAGGTAAAATATGGGTGCAGTTCTTGTTCAAACACTCTATAAATGTCGATTTTTAGTCGTTACGGCTGAAAAAATGGGAGGCTCTGCTATGTACGAATTGGTAAGGGTGGGATACCATGAATTAGTAGGAGAAATTATCCGATTGGAAGGTGATATGGCAACTATTCAGGTAAGGTCTTATTACTTTATTGTATCAGAAATGCCAAAAATCTTCACGGCTTACAGGTATATGAAGAAACATCGGGGGTAACTGTAGGTGACCCTGTGCTAAGAACAGGAAAACCATTGTCAGTTGAGTTGGGCCCAGGCATCATGGGTTCTATTTTTGATGGTATTCAGCGTCCATTAAAAGATATTAACGAAATGACTCAAAGTATCTATATTCCCAAGGGTGTAAATGTACCTGCTCTTTCAAGAACAGCCCAATGGGAGTTTCAGCCAGTGAGCATAAAGGTGAGAACTCATTCACCACTATTAAAAGTTTATGGTTAATATTTGGAAACATTTTAGTTGGGAGCACATTTAACTGGCGGTGATATTTATGGTTTGGTTCATGAAAACACACTGGTGAAACACAAAATCATTCTACCCCCGAGGGCTAAGGGTACTGTAACTTTTGTTGCTGAACCCGGCAATTACACAATTGATGTAAAAAATAGAGGTCTCATTTTGGATCTGTTGGTGACTTTTCATTTTTAGGATGTCGTTTTGGAAACCGAATTCGATGGAGAGCGCACAAAGTATACAATGTTGCAAGTCTGGCCTGTACGTCAACCTCGGCCGGTGAGCGAAAAGCTGCCTGCCAATCATCCACTACTCACCGGCCAGCGCGTTCTCGATTCACTTTTCCCGTAAGTTTTAATTCAATTTCATGAATTATCTGTTAATCATTTATTTTCAGTTGTGTTCAGGGTGGTACAACTGCTATTCCCGGAGCTTTCGGTTGTGGCAAAACTGTAATTTCTCAAGCACTTTCCAAGTATTCAAACTCTGATGTAATTGTTTATGTAGGATGTGGGGAAAGAGGTATTTTTTGTTGCAACATATGGGTTCACAAATTTAATTTTTCTTTTTTTTTTCCAGGAAATGAAATGTCTGAAGTACTTCGTGATTTCCCGGAGTTAACTGTGGAAATTGAGGGGTTAACTGAATCTATTATGAAACGTACCGCCTTGGTAGCGAATACTTCCAACATGCCTGTAGCTGCTCGCGAAGCTTCCATCTACACTGGAATTACCCTGTCCGAGTACTTCAGAGACATGGGCTACAATGTGTCAATGATGGCTGATTCAACTTCGCGTTGGGCCGAGGCCTTGAGAGAAATCTCAGGTCGTCTGGCTGAAATGCCAGCCGATTCAGGTTATCCCGCCTACTTGGGCGCTCGTTTGGCCTCCTTCTACGAGCGAGCTGGTCGCGTCAAGTGTTTGGGTAACCCTGACCGTGAGGGATCAGTTTCCATTGTAGGTGCCGTATCGCCACCTGGTGGCGATTTCTCAGATCCTGTCACCTCTGCTACTTTGGGTATTGTGCAGGTTAGTTTCGGAATATATATTTTTTAACGCTACTTTACTATTTGGGATTGTAGGTGTTTTGGGGTTTGGATAAAAAACTGGCGCAGCGTAAGCACTTTCCGTCTGTCAATTGGCTGATCTCCTATTCGAAGTACATGAGAGCGCTTGACGACTTCTATGATAAGAACTTTCCCGAATTCGTCCCGCTCAGAACCAAAGCCAAAGAAATTTTGCAAGTATGTAGGAATTACACATGGTTATTTCTTGTTCCCTTACATAAAATAGTAAAATATTTGCAATGAATTATGTCAGGTGCCATTTTATCATCTAGGTTTATAATTTTACACTCAAAGTTTTGAATTAGAGTTCTTCAAAGGATCTATCATTTTTACGACATAATCCGGTTTTAACTTTGGTAAATTTTCATGACGGTTTAACCGCAGGCCTACCACGCTTGGGTTTTTTTTTTTCAACCCTCAATAAATAGATTCGCAATTCCACAATAACGTCCCAAATCTGTACTTCGGTACTTCTTGCATTCAAAATCGTCCATTATAAATAAATTATCTACAAAAGATTTTGTATTGCTTTCCCAGGAAAATACTTTAGAGTCGTTCTGTTAAACCCTTAAAGTGGAAATCAGTTTAAGCTTTCTGAAGTATTTTTAATATAGGAGGTCAACCTATCTAATGAGGAAATTCAACTTGAAATCGACCTACCTACCTTAATATAACAAATTGATCATAGAAAATTTCCCTACTCTTAAAATATCACAGTCCGCACGGCACAGTTCTTGTCGACTAACATCTTAAATACGGCCCTGGCTTGTGGTAAATGTTGTGAAAAGAACACATTTATGCCGTGGTAATAATTTTTCATAATAGGAACTTTTAAGAGCTTTTTAGATATTTTTTCAACACATTGTAATATATCAAAGGATAGGTGAACTTTCTTTAAAAGTCAATTTTCCAAAGTTCACCTGGTAAATGACAGGGACGTCTCTGCATTTGGGTTCAAATTGCTAGCTGATTTAGTTCAAAGTAGGAGTAGTAAATTCTTAGTAATAGCGTGCAAACCTAATTTAATTTTTGGTAACGGTCATTTATAATAATTTATTGAGGTCTTAATTTGTTTATAAATATTGAGGAAGTGTATTATGAATATATTTAACAGTGGACGCTTGAAGATTTACTCATTAAACCCATCGCAGATCAATAATCTAATCACAAATTCTTCTTTTTCAGGAAGAAGAAGATTTGTCAGAAATAGTGCAGTTGGTGGGTAAAGCGTCGCTGGCCGAAGCTGATAAAATCACCCTGGAAGTTGCGAAACTGCTAAAAGAAGATTTCCTACAGCAAAATTCCTATTCATCTTACGATAGATTCTGTCCCTTCTACAAAACCGTGGGAATGCTTAAGAACATGATCGGTCTGTACGATATGGCGAGGCACGCCGTCGAAAGCACGTCGCAGTCTGAAAACAAGATCACCTGGTCGGTGATCAGAGATTCCATGAGCAATATCCTTTACCAGTTGAGCAGTATGAAATTCAAAGATCCCGTCAAGGATGGTGAGGCGAAAATCAAGGCAGACTTTGATCAATTGTACGAAGATATCCAGCAAGCGTTCAGAAACTTGGAGGATTAAACTGGGTAAATGCATAAAGCTGTTTTTAGACGATGGCCTTTTATAAAAAAATATATCCTCACCGATTCAGATTCTTTATCAATTGTTGAGTGTAATAAGAGCTAGGTCGATATTACTGTACAATAATTAGTTGTTAATAGTGAAACAGTCTCTGTGTGATTATGGTTTGTAGTCGCATTTGGTTAGGGACTTAACAATAAACGAAGACTTAGTCCACATAGATTTTGTTATATTTGTAAATGTTGTAGTAAGGTGAGGGTAAATGTACTACTATTCCCTTCATTCCAATTACTTTTAAGTACACACTATTATGGTTCGTTTCGATGTTTTAAAAAGGTGCATTAATAAGTTTATTCCAGTATTATTACTCAAAAACATCTCTCGATGTCCTTTTTATTTTTCTTTTATTTCAAACGCTATTGTATAATCAATTTCGTACTAACTACATACTATGTAAAGTCATTGTACAGTTTCCAAAATGTAAAACGTGACGCCCACTAACATAATCGTAATTTAGATCGGTAAGTGTAGTGCAATTTATTGTTCCATTTTGAACGAAATAAAAATTTGTTCCATGTTTATTTTGTTCCTTTGTTTTCAAGAATCTCTCATTTGTAAGAGGCGTTCTGCTAAAATTTGAAATATGGCAGAAAAAATCGTATTTCATTCAATGACACTATAATTCTTGACTAAATGAATAATTTAATCTGAAACTCACTAACCAGTAAGTATTTATCAGATTCACCCATTTTAACTTGCATATATATTGTCACACCATGTTGGAAACCTTTAAGCAAGTTAAACCAACTGAACTACTTGTATTTTAAATATATGTGACGTAATTGCTTTAAATGAACTTATTCGGAGACCTTACGACTTCAAGTACAAAGATACGTTCGTTGTCCTGAGATACTACAAATACTATTGTAATGTACTTTGTTTAAATAATACTTTTAAAAAAGGGGACCATATTAGCTACTAGATAAAATTAACATAGGTATACAATAAATATTTAAATAAATTGGCGCATTTTTAACCTTTGTATGATAAGATGTATTACATAGTAGCGCTTTCAACCAAAAATACCTTCACGTCCAAGATTGTCGTTGACAGCCTTGGCTGTGAAATTTTTGGTTATGTTTTTTTTTCGAAATTTGACCAAGATGCCATTAAATCTTCGAAGAAAAAACGACTTAAATGTGTTTACAAAAAAATGGGTAAAGCTGTGCACTGTAGTGTGTGAAGTCCATTAGCATGCACAGATAATTCAATTCTGGACAAAAATCCCATAGGCCCCAATTTACTAATATACAGAAAGAAAATTATCAGAAAACATACAAGTTATTGAACAAAAACAATAAATAAAAGTAATAAATGAGAATGCAGATGCTATGCTAAGAATCATGGTGGTTCCCAAGTGACGTCACCCCCTTAACAACTTCATACACAAATCATTGGTTAAAGCAAAGATGTGCCTTTCCTGTGCCTAATCTGGTATGATCTATCGAAATCACAACTAAATTTTAGTCCATGGAAACATTTAGGTCAAGTTATTGTAAATTAAAACATAAACTCTCTTAAAATAATACTTTATTAGTACCGATTTATATACAGTTGCTCCTTTTCTGATAAGAATGGTTTCTACATAACAAATATTTAGAAATATATATTTCTAGTTAACGAATTATTAAGATTGAGGCGTTCGTTGCGCTATTAGAAATATATGTAATCCGATTAGATAACTGACAACCAAATCTGTAGGAAAGCGTCTCCACTTAAAAAAAAAAAAAAAAAAAAAATGGACTTATAAACAACAAATTTCCAAATTTGAACCCTATTTTTGGTTGAGCAATTGCTTTAAATCTAGTTTGACACATTTTTAAAACTACATTTGAAACTATCATAGTATCAGTACCGTTTTTCAACAAATCCAAACGTTTCTTATAATACAAAATTTAGAATAAAACAATTCGGTAAGTTATGTAAAAACATTCTGTGAAGATTATACAAATAATTTAACCAAGTAAATAATAAATTCCAATAGAAAACGATTCAATATCTTCGATGGCGAGAGTTATTGCGTTTCCTTTATTGCATTTTTATGTGCATCGGCCGTTGATAAAGGAATCGGTTAAATCATTTGCACCGACCCAAACTTAAGATCTCTAAGATTGTTAACATAATTCTCTAAGCTAGGTAACAGGCCTATCGTTTAATTTTTATACGTATCAATGTTAGCTTCATTACATATTACCATGGGAATACTTTCGAATATATTATATACTATAAATTAAACTTTACATTTGTACAAAATTTCGCAATCACACGCGTACGGATCGACGGCTCTCAAAGACATTTCTAATTTTAAATTAGCAAAATGAAAATGCATTTAAATACATTTAAAATAATTAATAATAAATAACGGGATAAACTTTACCAGTTGTATCCGAATAACTAACAAACCTGGATCGCTGGTTAATAAAATCAACAAAAATAGACTTTTTATTACTGAACCACTTCAACGTAGTTGGCTGGGTACAATCCGACTCGGCCGTCTTTTCTGCCTTTACACCAGCCTTGCTCATCTTCATCTTCCAACTTTTCAAACACGTCACCTACAAATTAATTAATCTCTCTCTTCTGTTCATACTAATATGGACATGCATGGTCAATTCAGATCTCGCCAGACCAGGTCACCTTTAACCAAGATGACCGCTGACACTTCGTCAATTGGACGGTTGTCAGTTTGGATCTGACATTGGAACTCAAAATGTCCAGCGAAAAACGATTTAAGTGTGTGGAGAAAAGGTTGCCGGAAAACTGCCAAAACTTTCGTAGAGAAAGGAATATTTTCCGCACATGCCTATAAATTTCATACACTAACCTGCACTTTGTACCATTTCTTGCTAAAAAGCGATCTCCACGCACTTAACACATTTTCCTAGAACATTTAACTAAACATGGACACATTCCATATAGATACTAGAGATATAGAGACCCTGTCTAAGCCAATAATACAGAAACCTATGAAGCAACTCTGACTAAGAATTTAGAAAAGGTCGCTTATAACCAATGACTATTTTCTCAAAATATGAACAGATCTCTATATCTACATTATCTAATAGCTATATGCGCCGAACTGTCAGTCGCCATAAGTGTTATTGGTTAAAAATTATATTTCAAATGACCGCGTATGAGCATATTGAATTGTTCAGTTCCTGTTCCTCTGAAGGTCTATTGTGTAATTGTGATTCTTTATGTTATATTGGTCAAATCGAGCAGACCCAGCATAGCTTGCCCCGCTTTTTAATTTCGTATCTAATGATTTAAGTTGTTTTAAGTAGGGCTTTCGGTCGCTTGCACATATTAACCAACTAGCAACTAGAATTTTTCACTACAGGGGCTAGATTTAGCAAATCAGCGCTAAACAGGGATTTCATATAATTCCATAATAATAATAATAAATCCATTATTTAATTTTTGTTTTATTATTTAGCAATTTTTTCTTGTCTATTTTTTGCCATGAACATGTGCGTTTTGTATAAATCACTGCAGAAGTTATGTTATGTTATTTTCACACTTTTTTTGGGTTTTAGATATATACCAAATAATTACGTTAGTATTGCTCGGCGTCAATAATAAATTACCAATTAAGGTAAAACAACTTGTGACGTTTTTTTTTGTTATTTATCAAATATAAAATGCAGAACTTGTTAAATAAAATTTATCAAAAGTTAAATGCTTTTGCCTTATATGGTTTGTTTTTTACCAGAATATGTGTTTTTTAGTATAATAAGAAATTTTGGCTTTTATCAATTATTTATTCAAGCAAATTATTGGTGACTAACGTTAACAATTTCAATGTACTTACAAAAGTTTTCTACTCAAATATTTTATTTTGAATTTTACAGATCAATGCAGATTTAAAAAATTTATTGTGTATCGGCACGTCAAATCAGTAAAACACCAGCTCAAAAGGCGAAAATTGAAACGAGGAGAAACCACCCAGCAGATAATATAACATTATCTTAAAGTAAAACCAAAAAGCCACGAACAAGCCCCGTTCAATAAGGACTTATGTATGGCATTCATTGGGCAATTTTGACTAATATTGTAAATTAAACATCCAGATGAGTTAACTGTACATAAAGACAGTATTGTGCCATTTACAAGCCAACTGCATATGACATTTAAAAAGAAGTAGGTAAAAAAAATGTATGTCAGTAATAGAATAACACAAGCTTCAGAATCCTAAAAAAGATTTCAAAAGTTTTTATATGCAATTTTACTAATTTCGAAAGAGGGCTGGATTTGTAATGGGTGTTTTTTTTCGATGTATAGAACTTTAAGTTGGCATTACTGTTCAAGATGGCGACCGATTTAACAGCCGTCAATTGATTTATTCTCAGTTTGGTTTGGCAATTCATCATGAATAGACTCACGCTTGAACCACGCTTGTCGAATGGGCCCAAAACGAGATTGCCGTTGTCCCCGATTTTCATAAGCGAATTTTGTTTAGCGATGAAGCGCACTTCTGGTTGAATGGCTACGTCAACAAACAAAACTGCCGCATTTGAAGCGAAGCTAATGGTCAAGTATATGTTGAAACCCCGTTACATCTAGAAAAATTGACTGTTTGGTGCGCTTTATGGGCTGGTGGATTCATTGGTCCGTACTTCGCAACATGTCACACAGCTCGTGCGACAATCGATTTATTGAAAGACACATTTGTTGACCGCCTAATTTCACGTTTTGGACCTGTGAATTGGCCTCCAAGATTGTGATTTGACACCGCTAGACTACTTTCTGTGGGGCTATGTAAAGTCATTGGTCTACGAAGACAACATCGAAAATTGGACGTCCAGATTGGACTACATCCGCGCCAGCCGTGGCGGTCATATGCCAGAAATCATATTTAAAATGTAATGCCACAAGATTACGAATAGTTCGTCAAATTTCCGAATTGAATGCTGTGAAAAGTTGTATTATCTTAATGTATCAATGGCATTGTTACATTGTTAATTTTATTAACAAAAATTTTTATAATAGCCAATAATATTTTGCAAGATTTTCATGTTTTAGGTTTTATGTTTTGTAAGTATGTATCAATATATGTAACTAACTTTGATTATGCTTTTTTTTTGTTGCATTTATATTTATTCAAATAGGTCCATGGTATATGTAAATCAATTAGAGGATTTCTTTATAATTTTTCATTTAATAAAAATGCATATTTGCATTTTTTGTTCAAATGCGCATATATTGGGGTTTTTCCTTTGCATTTTTCCGCTCCTTATAAGGATTTTTTTAGAAATATGAAATGTAAATGAAACATACCAGCTTTAAAGCTAAGTTCGTCATTTTCTGCCCCTTCGTAATCGTAAAGGGCCTTGACAGGTATTCCGGGCTCACCGTTATCTACCAAAGCGTCATTTTCCCAGTCTTCTTCTTCAAACGGATTTGAGTCGTTGGCTTTGTTTGACGATCCGTTTCTAAAACGAATACTTCTCTGCAGTGTCCGCCTCATTGAGATACAAACTTTCGACTTCAAGTAACAACTTACGTTATTGTCGATATTCGATTCGACGGGCTCTCGATCTTTTCTACAGCGGGTTGCGGCGATTCGGGTGGAACGTGAACGGGGGTGTTATTTGGTTTAGCTGCCGCCGCTTTGGATTTTGACGATTTTTGATTGATCGAGTAATCCTAAAACGTGAAAAAAACCTGTTGAACTGTTACTTTAGTTTAACTTTTTTTTTACTTTTACACAGAAAACGGAAAGCTTTGTTCACATCCTCAGTACGGCAGCTTGGCGTTAATCAGGAATTATTCAGAGAAATATAATAAAGATTATGCAAAATCACAAATAGCTCCTCAGTTATGATTAGATTTTCGAAATGAAATTCTTTAACAAGGGGCACAAGAGACGGCAAAAGACTTGTATTGTGTTATTTTTCCAAACTGAAACGGGTATCCAAGTAACATTAAAAAAAACTATTTAAATTAAACCCAACGATCTGAATAACACTTGTCTAAAAAAAATACAAATATGCCATATAGTGGATGGCTAAAATACTGAACAAATTCATTTAAAAAACAGGTATGGGATTTAAAAACAAAAAGCTCGCACACGTCCGTCATCATTTCTTCTTGCGCATTTTTACAGTAAACAGAAAATGTACAGGGCGGATCAAAAAGCTTTTTAAATGGAACACTATTCTTTTAATCCATTTCCTAAATTTTTATGAGCAAAAAAAATAAAAAACAGAAATTTAATTTTGAAATGAACAGGTAAGTAGTAAAGCAGTAAAGTTCTTAACATGTCACAATTACATTGCTATCAGTAAAGAAAATGAAGATGGCGCATCTAAATGAAACTCAAAGAATTGAGAGTTTAATTTTTATTGGATGTTTGTTTATATTTGATATGGTTTAAGGCAAAATATCCAAAAAGATCCATTACAAGATCCACAGTCAATTAAATCGAGAGAAAATTTTTAGAACCGGGGCACATCAAAGAAGCTATTCTATTAGGTGTCGAAAATGCCAAACATTACTCAGGATATTTGCCTTATTTCGTATCCAATTTTAAATTTTAATTCATCCAAACTTGGGGTTTATTCTTATGCACTTTTGATTTTACATATCCCCAGAAGAAAAAAATCAGTGGAATAATATCTGGATATATTGCAGGTCAATCTACTGATTCCCTTCTACTACTCGAGGAGCACCATCCTATTGAAACTAAATCTGTCTACTAGGCACATCAGACTGATTCGGCTTTGGGAAAGAAGCAAGAATGGGAATTAAGTGATTTTGAAGAAATTGTATGGGGCTCCAGAAAATTTTGATGGAAGAAATAAGGTTCAATAATTTTGTTATTCAAAATCCCTGCCCAAACATTTATTGCTTTGTGGATGTTGTGTATGATTTTCTCTCATCCATCGTGGATTAAGAATACTCCAAACACCATCTGACTATAAAAAAGTGGATTTAAGTTGCATGTTTCCATCCTAGTTTCACAGAACTATAGTTTGCGGTCAGGATTCATCTTCGTTCAGCTCCTATGGTAATGTAATTCTTGTATGGACAATGCTTTTGTTCTTTTAATACACGGAAAGCTGTTCCTTGGCTAACATGATTATTTGAGGCTACTTTCCTCAACTTGTTTAATGTTTAATCTTGTGTTTTCATTTACATGCCCTGCTTCTATAAATTATCTCTTAATTTTAGGCACTGTGGATCTTAGTCTTTCTGTTAGTGCAAACTTCTTCTGGAGTTTTCTTCTCTTCTTCATTCAATTCTCTGGGTTTCATTTAGATGCGCCATTTACTAGTAGATAACTAATCTGTTCATTTCATAATTTGTTTTTATTGTAGATAGATAGGTATAAGGTTATGCTACATGAATTATACGTGAAATTTGACACAGAGTTCGAAAATAGATTTACTTTTTCACCCACCCTCTATGTTTTCTGTTTTTCTTTAGAAAATACGTGAGAAAAAATTATGATGGGCATGTGCTAGCTTTTTTCTTGAAATGCAATACCTGGTTTTTAAATGTTCCACATTTTAGCAGTTTACTGTATATTAAAAATTATATTTAAATTACAAACTCGTGAAATCAACTAAATTTAAATGCATGCATGCAACTCTCAAGTTTGTTTATAAACAGACTGATTAGAAAAAATTTAGTGGCGATTATTCCACTCAAGGGAATGATTCCAATCCGTATATTTGCAATAGGTATAATAAAATTGTTAGTGAATAAAATACATTCTTTAATGGTGTAAAACAACTTTTTCACTTGATTTCAGTAGGAAATAACCAACTTTCATTTTATAAGTTTAAAAGTAAAAAAACTCATTATTATTTATTATAAGAATTTACCCCCTCCCTCTCTCTGATGTAGTGAAATATAGTGCTGCGTGTTTCTTTACAAATTTACAGATCTGATTCTGGTTTTGTGCTTATTCTTTTTAATGTGTATTAATATCCCGCATTCTATTTAATTATGAATTAATATTACTGTCATTCTGGTTTCTTGTAATTACTCTCGTCCGGAGGTCATTGAGGAAAATTTTAATACAAAAGTTGTATAATTTTTGCCATATTATCCTTTAGACTTGTAAAAGAAAACAAATGCGCATCGCAAAGTTGAGAAGCAGTTTTTTGATTTTTACATGGAACACTCTATATATTTTCTGTTATGACGAAAGAAAGAAAGTATTAATTAACCAATAATACTAAAAAATATTATCTCTCATTCTATGATCAATCACATTTAAAATTAAGTCTGGATGATCTCTATTGAGCATGAATATTTCTTATTCAATTTTTTGGCTCAGCAGTTATATATTTTGAGGTATGTCATTGTATACACGGTTTTTTAAAAACCCCAATAGGAAAATATCAAGAGGTTTTAAATCCGGGCTAATTAGCCCGCCACTGAATTGTGTCATGTCTGCCTAACCAATGATCATATGTCTAAAGATAAAATCTAAAAGGTAATACTGCGAACATTATGCAACTTTCGTATTAAAAGTTTTTCTCAGCGACTTCCTTTAACCCCTGAAGTTGAGTACGCAAATATAAAAAATAACCCTGTATATAAAATCCAGATTATTAGCGCCAATTTTTGTATACCGTTAATTTACATTGCGTATATATTACATTTTCTACATTTAATTTTTGTTTATTGTAAATTCTGTCAAAATATTTATAGATTTTTACTTGCGTTTCTATTGTTAGAAAATATTATATTATTTGATTGATTTTGATTCACTAGTGCAGAAGGCACTAATGAATTGAGAAAATGTTTGCTACTGTATGTATTGCCAATTGTTCCGTTCCGTTTCGGTGCAAAGTTTCTCACATTGAGTGAGGCGTTTTAAAAATAGCATCAAATTTAACATAATAAAAAATTCTGTTAAGCATACATGCAAGTCTTCACCAACAGGTCGCTGATGTATAAGAGTTATTCCGGTAGGTGCCGAGTCCTTCGATTTGCCCTTGTGGATGTCCCGGAACTCTTCCGTGTAATCCTAATTTCATGCGACAAACCAAAACGAAAAACAAAAAAATCAACAACAGAAATTCGAAATAAAATCAAAATAGACATGCGCGAGAAATTAATGCCGATTAATTACCTCAAACTGGGGCCAATTCATCGCCATGTTAACGCCGTGATTGTTAGACCACCACTTCAAATCTTTCTCATAATCCGCGTTGTTGATGGTGTGATACAATTCTTCGTATATTTGATTGAGCCTGAAACAATTTAGAGAACCGTGCATTTGTAGTTTGTTATTTAAAGCATTATGGACATATTGTAAATGTCTAGTTTTCATTTTATTATTTTTTCGGGTTTTTATGAATTTATATATATAAACCTATAACTTATTTATTGGCCGCGAGTACAGCACCAATAAGTTATTCTTCTTCCTTTCTTCGCGGTATTAAAGTCTTGAGCTTAACTGGCCATCTATACCCGCCGGCGCCCTTAGGCGAATGATCCACTAAAAATCACGATCAAGCGCTAAACCGGTCGCTCTCATCGTGTGGTTCAAAAAGTGCCGTTGAACGCATCTGGTCATACGCGTGGTGATCAACAAATTTCCTCACCACCCGAGGCACAGAGGACGCAGCACGGGCCGGCTCCTCCGGAAGGAAGATCAAAAGCGACGTAGGGTCAGTTAAGTAATCAAAAATGTTTTGATCCCGTCTTGAGTAATTTTTTGCGACTTCTTACTGTGCTAGCTGCGGCCAAAATCCGTTTCCGCGCGGACAAAACAGGGAAGATTTGTCATTGTCAATCTATGTGAGTAGAAATCCTACTGTCCTCAGAGAAATTATAATATATATAGATATGCATATAATTAATTAGAGAGGATATCAAATGATTTAAAAAACAAAGTCTTCCGGAATTTCGGAAAGAAGCTTGTTGATAAGTAAAGATTAAAAATGAAACAAAGTGACTGCGCTAATGCATGGGCGCAGTCCTTGATAATTAAGACGGGTTTATTATGAGGGTCGTTTTAGATTTTATTTTATTTTTTAAGCATACAGTTTATGGAGATACGGTCACAATAATACTCATGAGTTTGCGGAGTAGTGGAATCAATAAATGAGTTATTATACCCCTTTTGCTTTGAACAACTCAATTAATATCTAATAAGATTTTGAAGCACAATTTACAATAACTGCAGGTAAATTAATGTCGAAATGAGGCACTTCGTACGTATATAGGTGTTAGTAGAATTTTATTTTAAGTACTTTTCATACTCACATTGGATCCTGAGATATATTAAGATACTTGTGAATGTCGAATAATGTCGCCTTTATAAAGTTTAACCTTTGAGCTTCCATTTCTTGACATTTATCGAAAACGACAGTCATGTCCTCCATATACTTGGGATTATATTGGTTGATTTCCTGTAGAGCCAGCTCATACTTCTCCTTGCACTTCTGTACTTCCTCTTTGGATTTTTGAACCCTATCTTGCATTTTTTTTACCTAAATTTGGGAACAATATAAGATAAGGGTGGAAAATAGTTTTTTATTGTCAATAAAAAAAATAAGTTTATTGAAAAGCTATATCAGGTTCAAGATGTTAAATGCCACTCAAAATATACATGGTAATTTAGGTCCATTTTAACACTACAGTGAACGGTTATTATTCATTGTTCGTTTTTTTCCCACATTGTCGAGTCAGGTACCTGCTAAAGATGCCAAAAATATACTTTCGTACTTACATTTAGCTGGTTCAGTATTGGCAACAGACAGCGATATTATAAGCTTTCCAAGATTTCGTTGTTTTTATTAATTGTTGTTTCTGTTTGTTTGGAAACGTTTTTTTTTAAGTATTTTCAGTGTTTGACTTTAGGTTTATTTTCACATTAGTTTGAAACTTGTTTCGGGGACGTGTGGAGTGTGCGCAGTTGGTCTTTACCGGTTGGTCCGAACCGGGTTTCAAACCGCTAGTCTGTTACTCCATCAATTAACAGTTTGGCAAATGTTCGGACTGTTCCGGCAAATTGTTATAAATATTTTCATTGCTAAGATAAAAAATAATACCACAGTTTTCACGAATATCAAAAATCATCAAATTTTATCTGAAGTTGTGAACTGATATTCAGTCTAAAATCTCCACAAGGATTCTACTCTAGGCGGAAGCACAATATATGAAGTAGCCAAAATTTCCCTATGCATATGTCACTTTGCTATGCTATGCGAGGTGTGAATCATCAGCCTTATATAATAAGCCTTTTAAAGCAAATTTTGTTAGTTATGGGAATGGGAGTGAGGTGGGGTGATTGAAATATTCCAAAAATATAATCCATAAAATTTAGATTGAACTTCACTTAGAATAGACCCTTATGTTTATATGACAGTCCATAATTATATCAAAGAAACCTAGCCTATAATAGACGTGCAAAATAAATGTTCCTTATTTCCTAAAGGTGTATTATACAATCTGATTAAATATTACATGTGGTGCTTCCACAAAGTCGAGAACAAGAATGAGGAAAAATGATTTTGCATGTCTATTTAAGGCTAGGTTTTTTATATGATTATGGACTACCATATAAACATAACAATCTCATAGAAAGAACTTGTGGTGAACTTGAGGAAAATTTAGAGAACAGCAAAATTAATAGATCAAACGAGCTTACCTGTAAGTAAAATTCAATCAAAATTTTATGAGGTTTATATAAAAATGAGAATTTACACCTCGAATAGCATAACAGGTAGAGTGACATGTGGGCAGCAAAAATTTTGGTTAATTTAGACAATGTGCTTCCACCTAGAGTAGATTCAAGATACTGCCTTGTAGTGAATGGGAATGTGGATGATTCTTAACTTTTTGATGAGAAATTGCTGAGAGTTGCTAAGTACCAACCATTAAAGATAACCTAAAAAGAGTCGGTCGACTTTTCTGCTTCCTCGATTATTAAAAATTAAGTTGACTGCATTTCTCTCAAATTTGACAGGCGCACAAGAACGGTTTGAAACTGGTAAGAAACAACCTTTTATGTGTAGGCAGGTACTATGATTATGTCTCAGACCAAAAAAGAAAGAAAATTTACGTGCAGTGAAGAGTAACAGAACATATTAAACATGAAAATTAGTAACAAAGATGAAAATATAAGGAAAGCTTACCATTTGCGTCTTCTATGAATGCGAACGAGTACAAAATAATCGTAGTGTTAAGTGAATGATACTTTTTGTAAATATCACATACCTGATCAGCGGAGAAGGAGCTGTCGCCAGCAGCGTTCCTCTCCTGATTGGCGGCCGATCTTTCCGTTTTGCAGGACGTATGGTAGTCGGTGCGCGTTTTCTCCACCTTTTGCAACAATTTTGCCCACGGCTTTTGCGCCTTCTTAAAATTATCGTCCATATCTTTCTTCTCTTTTATATTCATCATCGACTGCGGGGGTCAACATTAGCGACAAAGTAAATTACGAATTATCGTTAGCTTACCTTGTGATAAGTGTCTTTTTGCCATTGCTTAATTTTATTCGTGACGTCGTTCGCTAAACAGTCCCTGACTTTAGAATGTAAATCGTACCGCCTGTCGGCCTCCACCAGCACTCCCTTCCACGCCGCTTCCGTGGTGCCATACTCGGGACCCTTCTCGATTAGATCGTTCCACTTTTTAGACCTGCAAAACAACGGCATTATTAGTAAAATTTTGCACTTTAAGTATTTTATAGTGTATGGGTAAATGTTGTTAGCACCTCAAAGATGTAATTAAAGACAAGTTATTTTTTTAAATGGAACTTGGTCAGCCTGACAGTATTTCTTTAATAATTAATAAACTTTAAAAAGTATAACCGGAAAGCAGTATTACTGGAAAACTATGAAGCTGCGTGTTGGGGATGATAAAATATCTTCCGGCTGATTCAGCAGTAGTTAGAGATAACGCATAGAGAAGGCTCCAACTACAACTTGGAAAAAACAAGAAATTATCGACTCCTTACCCAAAAAAAAAATCTAAAAATAATTTGATAAAGAAGCAAATTTACGCAAACATCGTTTTATGAAATACGCCGTGGAAGATATAGCAGGGAAACGGACGACGCACAAGGACGAAAGGAATTGTAACAACGTAAAACACGACATTCAAAATCAAAGAAAACCTTAAAATGCTGTTTGATCAAGCCATCGAAGAAGCAACAGCAAAGAACTGGGGAAAAGCAGTCCAGCATGTTATTAAAGAAAAGGAGAAATAGTGGGATCTTGACTACTTGATTCATCGGACCGTCGGTGATTTGATTATAACGTTGATATTTTTGAATCATATATTTATTATAATATAATATATTTTTTATATGTTTAATTAAAACCTAACTATTTATTTATTATTTTATGGTAATTAAAAAAATATTACAAAATTTTGTATAAGTATCTTTTAAACAAATTGAAGGTAAAGTTGAATAAATCCGTATCTTCGCTGTAAAATAGTGTCTGTCTCTTTTATATCTAAAATTACGGTTTCTAACAAGCTTTTTTTGCACACTCTTTATCCGATCGACATACTTGCGATAGATCGGATTCCACACAGGGGATGAGTATTCCAAGATAGATCTGATGCTGCTATTATAAATTAGAATGAGACTAATTTGTGGTTGCCAAAGCCTTTGGTGTTACGTAATACAAAAAGGAAATTTCTCAAGCCCTTCTTTACAATATTTTCTACATGTGTTTCAAATGTTAACTTGAGTAACTCACTTAAGTTTTATGTTGTTTAATTTTAAGTCAATAGTAGTCGGTTCTTTTTTCCTCTGTATATATCAAGATTTAAAAAAAGTCTGCGAATTTTACGGTACATAGTACTTTTAAGTCATCTACGATTGAGGTAGCTGTGCGAGACTCCAGACGTGCGACTTTTCACCGTTCACAACCACAAACTGAGTTCTATCGGTTAGGTAACTAACCAAAACTATGCACATAATGCCTGATTTTTAATTTTTTAAATACGATTCCTAGTGGGGTCATTGGGGTCACTCCGTAGTCCCTTTGGGGTTTTATTACCTACACCCTTCTGAAATACTATTTAATCAATTGTTCCTTTTCTTAATTTTTGATAAGAATTAAATTTATATGTTTCTTTGGAATACGTTGAAACTCGTTTACTTCAAATGAAATATTTATATTAAGACCAAAATAATGTGGTCCTTAACTGATTGGGCATTAACAAAATCATTTCAAATTTCGAACGTTTTTGTTTCAACAACAAAACGCTTGTTTTTTTTCCAAAAGTAAAACCACTCTTTTCAACCATAATAGTCTTCTTCTTCTATGACATATGGCCTTTTAAGCACGTTTTCATTTTTAAAACACCTTAATTATTTTTAACTTGAATGTTAAACTTAATGTTTTAATTTCTGATATTCAATTATGATCCAAACTGACGTCTACATCAATAAATCGCAAAACAGAACGTTGAACCCGCTACGCTCTATATATGTATACGAGACTTTTAATTCTTAACCGGTTTCATTTTTGATTTAAATACTGTGCCTTACTAAACTCCAATACGAATATTTTACTAACCTCGTTAACAACAATTTTATATTACAACGCCAATTCCAATAATGTCTAATTTTCTTCAACGCTTTATTTTTACTTTTTGACAGCTGTTTTTCTCAATATCGTAGCATATTATTAATTAATACCGGATATTTGTCAAATATCAATTTGCATCTAAAATGCTGAACTATTTAATAGTATATGATGTAATAAGTTTTATAAACGATACTTTAGGCACGTGCCGACCGAATGTTTAATAGATCCACCTTTGTACTATGAGCAAAAGAATAAAAAACAGAAATTTAATTTTGAAATGAGCAGGTAAGTAGTTAGTACCAGTATCGTCATAAATTACATTTCTGAAAGTAAAGAAAGTGAATATGGCGCATCTAAATGAAACGCAGAAAACTGAAATGTTAATTTTTATTGGATGTGGAAACAACGAGAACATTAGAAGCAGTTTCTAATTAATTAAACACAAAATATCCAGATATACCCATTAGAAGATCCACAATGAGTAAAAGTGACAGAAAATTTATAGAAACAGTGCTTGTCAAAGAAATTATTTTATTAAGTGTTGAAAATAACCACCATTAACTTCTTGGCAATACGTTAATCGGTTTAAAAACCCTTCTAAATCATAACTCAGATATTTTCATTAATTTGCCTTATTTCGTATCTAATTTTAAATGTTAAAACATTCTAAATTGTGTTTTTTTCGTTATACACTTTCGATTTTGAATATTCCAGAGCAAAAAAATCTAGTGCAGTAATATTTGGAGATCTTGCAGGCCATTTTATTGATCCCCTTCTGCCAATCCACTGCCCAAACCATCCTGTTTAAACCAAATCTGTCTATCTGAAGTAATTTTCAAGAAATTATAAATATGGGGCTCCGGTAAAATTTTGATCGAAGAAATAACGACCAACAATTTTGTTATTCAAAATCCCTGCCCAAACATTTATTTTTTGTGGATGTTGTGTTCGATTTTCTCCCATCCATCGAATATTATTTGTACTTCAATAGCTACAATTTTGTTTATCATCACTAAACAGTATCTGAAGACGAAAAAATGACACACAGTTTCACAAATCTGTAGTCTACGGCGGGGATCATCTTCGCTCAGCTCCTGTACAAATGTAATAATCACTATTATTCCTTATTACTACATCATTATTTGAAACTACTTCCGAGGATAAATGATGAGGATTATCCTCAACTTCTAATAAAATGTTTACTTTTTTGTTCTCATTAGTTATTGCACCACCTGGTCGTAGATCTTACTGTTTACTCACTGTGCATCTTGTAATGGGTCTTTCTGGATCTTTTGCATTACACAAATTACCAACTTCTTCTTGAGTTCTCGTTGTCTCCATATTCAAGAAAAAAAATTAAATTCTCTGGTTTTTATTTAGATGCGCCATATTCATTTTTTTTACTGACAGAAATGTAATAGCTATTTAACAGTTTTACTGATTTTTACTGTTCCTTTCAAAATTTCTGTATTCTTCTTATTTCTTAAATTCTTTTAAAAAATGGTATTAAATTTAAAAAAAGAACTTGGTATCCACATCTAATTTTTGACCCACAGTGTATATTTTCTGCTTACTATCAAAAATGTCCAACAAAAAATAGTAGCTTTTTAATGTTAAGTCAAGCTTTCGCGCAAGTATTCAGGCTTCCTTAGAACTCTAAAATGTAAAAGGGAAACACTCCATCATAAAATCAGAAAAAAACACACAAGGCAGTTAAATATATACATCAATTTGCCATTAACCTCTAACAACAGAGGAACACAAGACTCCTTGCTACAAATAGAGAACCACGTGTTAGCCATTAGTAAAGGCTGATCTCCAATAGGCTAATAGTAAAACACATAATGCACTATATTCACTGTAACAAAAATTTATTTATAATTAGTGTGGTGAACTGTGAGCAACTACGACAGAAATCATTACAAAAGTTGTGAAATCATTTTATCTTCTGATAGAGAGGATCTTTGATCAAAAAATCGTCGTTTTAAGTTACTAGGTGAAATAGGTCAAAGACTGTAAGGGCTTCCTTGAAGGTACGTGACAATTCAGTTAGCTCAACTCAGGACGCTCCCCTAATGGAAAGGTACCTCCCAGGATTTATCAGTGAAGGAACCTTAAAAATGCACAACGCCCAAGCTCATGTCATAATCTAAGCAACCTCCGTTTAGAAAGACAACCGGCCTTAGAGATGTGGCACTGAATTCTATAAAGCAAGCTACTAATGGTGCTTCGAATCTTAAAAAACCAATGGCGTTTGTTTGTTTGAAATCTGGGAAAGTGATTGGAACCACAACAATCCTTACGATTATGATATTTTGGTACTCTCTTCTCTAAAATACTGCACTTATTCGGCTTGCGTAAGACGTCACTTTAAAACCTCAGTTTCATTAAATACAGTCGCGAGTTAGGAACGAAAAGTTTTTCGATATATAAAAAACTGTTATTAAAATTGCAGTAGTGGCTTAGCCAGAAAGTAGAGGCGAATTAGAGAGTATACGTATGAGGAATACCTAAGAACGTGATAATACTAGATGATCCCTCATAATATTGGTAATACATTTTAACGTAAGATGAATTTGAAGTTTTCGCGGCTTCCTAAGCCGTATCTAGAGAACTATTCCGATAAATTAGGTCGGCCGATTATACATTACATTACATTACATAGACATATATATATTTTTGAAAAGCATGTCATCAGACGGAAGATTATTTATTATCTTATCTTGACAATGAAATCGCACCTATTTATTTTAATTCAATTAGCATAAATATTTTTGTTTTTTTTATAAGTCTAGTTTAGGCTTCTGGTCCTAATCGGAGCAAAATATTTTTGCAGATACGGGCACGCCGTTATTTTGAATAGCACGTTTTATTGAATTTTTTTATTAATTGCATTCCTCTAAGTATTTTTGTTTATTAGTATTCTATACCTATCTGCTATAATTAAGCGTTTTATGTAAATTTTAGCTAGATATATTTAGTTAATATACACGGTCGTTTAGAGATACTGACGTGATACACAAAAAGAATCAATTTGTGCTTGCTGCTTATATGTTAAAATTATGAAAGGTAATAAAATTTGCCTGAAGATGATATCGTTTTTTAATTAAACTTCCACACATTGACATCGTTTCAGTCAAACTCTGAAGAAGTCAACAGGATGATTGGCGAAACGTTAGCTAGTTCGAGTTAACAAAAACCGACACAGGAGAAATCCTGAAGTTCCATAAAAAGTATGATGTTTCATAGTGGTACCACGAGGTTTTCGAAATATTTGCAATATTTTTTTTAAATAAAATTATTTTCGAGACCAGATGCCAAAATTTCCATTTCCATTAATATTTACTAAAGTATAAATTAAAAATACATTATATATATATATATATATATATATATATATATATATATATAAATATATATATATATATATATATATATATATATATATATATATATATATATATATATATATATATATATATATATATATATATATATATATATATATATATATATATATATATATATATATATATATATATATATATATATATATATATAATATGTATATATATATATATATATATATATATAATATATATATATATATATATATATATATATATATATATATATATATATATATATATATATATATATATATATATATATATATATATATATATGATGACATGCTTTTCAAAAATATATATGTCTACGTAATAAATGTAATATATACAATCGGTTGACGTAGTTTATCGGACTAGTTCTCTAGGTACGATAAAATATATAACCAACATTATGAGGGATCGTCTAGTATTATCACGTTCAATTCGATTCTACTTAGGTATTCCTCATGCATACTTCCCTAATTCGCCTCTACTTTCTGGCTAAGCGACTGCAATTTTAATAACAGCTTTTTATATGTCGAAAAATTTTCTTTTCGCGCCTAACTCTCGACTGTATTTAATGAAACTGAGGTTTTAATGTGACATCTTACGCAAGCCTAATAAGTGCATCAAACGCCATGGGTTTTTTAAGATTCGAAGCATCATACAGAATTCAGTGCTAAAGCTATGGACAACAAAAGGCAAATAAATGCAGTAAACACAGACATCCACATCTCTAAGGCCGGCTGTCTTTCTAAACGGAGGTTGCTTAGATTATGCCATGAGCTTGGGCGTTGTGCATGTTTAAGGTTCCTTCACTGCTAAATCCTGGGAGGTACCTTTCAGTTCAGTTTCTGCATCTATTTCACCTAGTAACTTAAAAAGACGATTTTTTGATCAAAGATCCTCTCTATCAAATGATAAAATGATTTAACAACTTTTGTGATGATTTCTGTCGTAGTCGCTCATAGTTCACCACACTAATTATAAATAAATGATAGTTACAATGAATAAAGTGCATTATGGGTTTTACTATTAGATTATTGAAAAGCATGTAGTTATATAGATGCAAGGATAAAATTGAGTTGCAAATGGATGTTAAATCTGTTAGACAATAAAGATTATTATTATCATCATAATTCTGCTTTTCCGCCAGTTTAATAGATCCTTTGCTCATATACTAAACAATATTGTGTTGGGATAGCTACGGAGAGAAATCGGAATGCGTAAGCATGACCTCATCTAATTGGACAAATACCGTTATAAGTATGTTATCGCATTTCTTATCAGATGGTGAATATTAGGTTACAATGGAACGCATTGGTGGTATGTTCGAATCATACACCAAATTAAATTACTTCGCTATATGTTCAAATAATGAACTGAACAAAACTAAAGAGTCATTTCGTCACATAACTAATTACTAATTAAAACACACTTTACTATAAACACTGACTCCGCGGCCACGAGTTTGACCGTTTTTACTTTTCACTTTTTTTTTTATATGGAGAAATGTTTTGTCTAGGTTTTCTGGATATTTTGAAAAACTTGCGTTTTCAACTCATAACGCGACCAAGCCATTTTGATATTTTCTTGATTAAAATGTCTATGACTTCGATTTGACTTGACGGGATTTGGAAAATATTCAGAAAAGGAAAGTTGACTTCTTAATATAAAAAAACAGTCATATCAAATTGGTTTTTGGCGCATTCGTCGGAGGGCGTTATTATCAATCATGTTCGAAGGGTGAAAGTATATAATAAAACTCGAGTCAGTCTATTCCTTGCTATGCACAAGAATTTGGACTTGGGCCGCCACCTCTAGAGGATACAACTCACCCAGGAGCTCAAAGTTCATGACTATAAATAACCACTGCCATTTGTTCGCTGACCATCCACAAAGTTAGCACAACAATCAAGACGAGATCGGCCATATTATGCGACATCCCGAAAAATTTGCCCTTCTACATCTCATAATAGAAAAAAAGTTTGAAGGTAAAAGAGGTGCTGAAAGAAGACTTCTGAAGAATCTAAGGCTTAGGCTGTCAACAAGATCACTGTTATGAAAGCCGTCTGCACTGCAATTTCCAACCCCTGATAAAGAAAAAACGAAATATTCTAATGTCAATGACAATAACTTGAAGTTATGGACCCATTTATAAATAAATGTATAAGCACCATCCACAGCACCTATTATTTTAAATCCTTTAATATAAAGCGTTAAATCGACATGATGCTCAATTTTATTAAAAAAACTGCTAAAATTTTTCAAGAAAACAGAAGATTTTGAATCGACTACGCTCGTAGCGGAGAAATATTTTGAGAAGATCCATTCAGATTTAAAACTTGGTTTTTAACTAATGATTTTGAGGTATTCAACAGCCAACATGGCCGCTGACAGATCCTCAATAAGTTTGAAAGGTGGCATTTTGATGGCCGTATTTTCTCAAAATATGCCCAAATGAAATGGAAAATCGAGCTAAGTGTGGGAAAATCAGTGAAAATGGCGCAAAGTGCAGGTTAGGGGGTGAAATGTAGAGGCATGCGAGGAAAAACATTCCCTTCTCCACGAAAATACCAATACCGCATGCGGCGCATCAATTTTTACCGACGATGCGAGGGTGGTATGGAAAGTTTCCGGCCTGACCAAAGAAAACGATGTTTTTAAAAAATGTTTTTGTTTTATTTTTCAACATAACTGATACATTTCTCGTAAACGTAGATTCGTTAAGCTCCTCAAAATACTGATTTACAGCTTCGATAACTTTTTCGTTGCTTTTAAATCTTTTACCGCCAAGCCATTTTTTCAGGTTAAGAAAAAGGTAATAGCCGCTGGATGCTAAGTCTGGTGAGTAGGAAGGTTGCGGCATCAATTCAAACTTCAATTCGTGGATTTTGGACATGGCAACAATGGACGAATGCGCTGATGCGTTATCGTAATGAGAAAAATTTTTTTCTTCGCCAAATAAGATCGTTTAATTTGCACCTTTTGCAACCTTTCCAAAAAAAGTATTTGATGACACCACGTTTTTCCAATTTTTCCATTGTCACGAAAACAACGGGAGCGTCTCGCGCAATGTGGTCTCAAATGCAAAATAACGTAGTGTTTAGCCTGAAAATGTACATACAAGCTCGGTAAGAGTGGTACTGTAGGGCCGCGAGAAAAAGTAAAGCTGGTGGCGCCATCTCTTGGTCAGGCCGGAAACTTTCCACTCCACCTTCGTTTGACACCATTGGTCACTTTACGTTAAAAACGATTTCTTTTCCATTCCATTAGCAAAAATACAAAAGCCGACAATGCTTGGCAAAATTAAAGAGAAAAACTTACCAGACTTTCAGGGCCTTGGCGTAATTTTTCTCTATTTCAGCTCGTTCGCTGACTAACGTCACTAAATCCGAACATAGCTTATAACCGTCTTCGATTCGTTTGGTGGTCTTTTTGTAGTTGCCCGGTTCCCAAAACGAATCGCTAGTGGCTATCAGCATGTTATCGTCGCTGTGATGTGACATTTTGAGGCTGCCACACCTAGAACACAAATTGAGAATGCGAATGTTAGAATTTCGAGTACTATATCGTATTGCAGCTTACAAAATGGAAAACAAAATCGTCAGCGAATAATCATAATCATTCAAATGCCTTTTACCAATAAAAAGCTGTTAGCTGTCATAGGTTCAAAGATCCAAATCGGTTTTTGGTAATAAATTTGCAACTCTTTTTCAGTTGCGAAGACGCTTGGGCAAATAACAAAAAATACCGGTGTAGACTAGACCAACAAAAAAAGAGTCAAATGTGTCATGGAAGAGAAACTTTTTTTTTTAAATTTGTATCTATTATTCATATAATTTTCATATTCAGATAGATTATAAAAAACATTTGTAAAGATTTTAAATATTTTGTCAATTTCCTTAGTTTCAGCTGAAAGCATATTATAGTATGTTTGTCCGGAATGAAAAGATGATTTTTTATAGCATTAGTTATTAAATTTTTTTACTGGCAGTTATTTTCATTTCTTTTCAAGTAAGAATGAATACCAGATCTTGTTTGAAGATTGTCTTTATTTTTATGTATGTAAATTAATAGTTTAAGCAAATAAATATATGTGAGAGTTAAAAAAACATTAATTCTAACAACATCTCTGCAAGATTCTTTTGGTTTTAAGTTGTAAATTAGTCGAATTATGCTTTTATCATTTTTTTGTTGAACAAAGATTTGGTCCGAGTCTACTGCTCTTCCTCAACTAATGATATTCCTTATGATTTGAGATTACTGCGTATACGTTAAAAAAAAGGAAATTAAGGAAGATTTCAATGTTAAAATAGCAACATAAGAGCTAGTAAGTTTTTTTTATACACAGTCTATTGGATAGGACAACCTTAATTGACAGTCAAGTTCTAATCCTAAGAATGTTGTATACGAATTTTTAGTTATATAATTTTGGTCTCTTTTGACACTTAACCCGACTGAAGAACTTATGTATTGACTTGTGAATTGAACTTCTACAGTTTTTTCAGGGATTAATATAAGGTGTTCTTTTAATACTGTGGGTCTGAAATTTTTGTACAGCTTTTTCAAATATTGTATTAATATAAAGTATGTTTCCCCTCTCAACCGTATTGCCCTTCCATTATGCGAGAATATTTTATTTAATTTATAAAAATACAATAAGGCAAATTTTATAAAGGAAATTTACATAAATCTCCATTATTTGATGTATTACTAGAAGAAAAAATTGCTTTTTATTGTAAACAATTAATGCTTCCACGGCTATCGCGATTTTATGAATTAATGATTTGTTGGTGACAATAACACAACAAAACAACTTCGTTGATAGTCAGTGTTCATCTTGTAAACACTTTTGTATTTCAATTAACAATTGTTAAAAAAAATCGCCCACATCTCGAAGCTACATCTCAAATCTTATGTTATTGGACGCGATGACTCAGACTCAGATGCTAAAATTCAGAATCGAAATTAGAAGGAAAGGGCTCAACTTGTCAACTACATTAATATTTTTTCAATTTCTCATAAAACTTTTTTAATTTTAATTTTAACTCTTAAAATATCTCTATATTTATGCATATGTCTGCTTTATTTCTTTTATTATGATCTCTTTGTAGAAAGCTGTTTGAAGTTCTAATGAAATATAGCTGTAACCAAACACAAACAGGTTTTACTCAATGAATGTACCCTGAGCTAAAGCATAAAGTTTCAAGTTGAAATCATCAAATTTTAAATCAAAGAACAGAAATTTTCGACGAGACCATAGTTTTTGCTGTGATTTCTCATCACATAATGGCAGCTTTCGAAGAAACCAAAGACATTTGGCAAAACAAGTAGGTGGACCCAAATGCAAAGAACGATGTCTGTTCAAATTTGCTAAAGGATCAAAGGTTGTACAAGGTCCGAGCGTTTGCAGAGTCTTTTATCAGAGAAATAGACAAATTTCGTCGAAAATATCTGCTCTTATGATTCCAAAGAATTTCCATTTGCACGGCCGTACATAAAATTGGTGCATTAGTGCAATTACTCATTATTGAATTAAAACTATTATTATTGAACAATTAAATGAATAAATAATAATTTTTTGATTAAATTAGTCCGATTTTATATTCAAACTAATTGGGAATTATTTTAACAAATGCAGGAAACAAAAAAGGTTCTGAATAAAACATACAATTTAAAAAATATTTTTTTATATCATTGCATAAATTTTTCCTTAAATTTAGTTCCTCTCGATCCTCTCAACCATTTGTGTTATTATAATAGTAATAAGCGCGAACCTTTTGAACTAACGTTTATATAAAAAACTACCCTTTACTCTAAACAAGGAATCACCCCCTTACGTTTTCCGCATTTGCTTCGAAACACCCCACATTTGAATTGGAAAATCTACCGTTTCTAAATTATTACGGGAGAGGCTATTTTGGTGAAATGTTAAAATATAGTCTTCTTGATTCAGTTTCGGATAACGCAGGCTATAATTCAAGAAGCATACAGAAGAGTCCACCTTCATTTTGGATACAACAAGAAATTATCTACTGGTTAACCACGATAATTTGATAAAGAAGGAACTATTAGATATACAAATATGCCATGGAAGATATAGCAGAAAAACATGTCATTGCCAACTGAATCCTACATAACTTATATGGAGGCAGCAAATGAAAGCATTTCTAAAGACACAACACGCCATTTGAAATAAAATACCTTAAGCTACTGTTTTATTCATTGAGTAAGTGACACCAGATAACTGGTGAAAAGCAATTCAGCATGTCACCCGAAAAGAGCAGCAAATGTGGAATTTTGACTACTTTTTTTAAATTTAATTTTTGTATAATGTCTCATATAAAATAAAGGTATCTAATACTATACTATCTAATCAACTACCTTCTACTTTTTTCTTCAGCATGCTGAGTTGATTTTTTTAATGCAGTAAGAAGTACAGATTGGTTCAACGATAAGAGTTCATTATCTGATTGGTTTCAAAAGTTATGAGAAAATGTCAAATACAAAAATTCTAAACATTCTAAATTATTTTAAAGTATACAGTGTGGCTCAAAAAAGTATGAAGAATAAAACATACATTTTTTAAAATTTTTGAAATTTTGTTTTGAATTCTTTTTAAAATTGTTCAACTCTTTTATTAATAATAATACACAGGTAAACCTAACCGTGTTTCCAATATTTTATTTATTCCGATAGCGTCATTATTTTCAATTAAATTAATTGCTACAGGGTGTTCAAAATAAATGAATATATTTGGATAATTTTAAACTGAAAGATCTCGATTTTCTTAAATGCCACACCATACATATTACTATTTTTTCTGAAAATCTTATAAAAAAGTACAATTGTTATTAAGTATCATATACCAATTTTTAATACTTTGCGATTTATTTTAAGTTTTCCAATATTTCAATTCTTCTTTCAATTAATTCAGCTTTAGGGAAATCCAAATTTAGTATTATTTTTTATTTATCGACAACGCAATAAATTTTATAAATTTGGTTACTCAGCTGTCAGGTAAAAATTGCCAATGTCATTTTGTCGTGGCCAACTAATGTTATAGCAATAGTCTTAAACAGAAAGAAGGGTAAACATGGGAAAAGTTAAAATAAATCGCAAAGTATTCGTATTAAGATCTTTCAGAAAAAATAATAATATATACGGTGTGCCATCTAAGAAAATCTTGATTTTTCAATTTAAAATATTTTCGTTTCTTTTAAACATACCGTAGCATCTAATTCAAATTCCGTTGGATCTTTTAAGTCATTTTCGAATAACGCTAATATCAAATATTAGTAAGCTACCTGTTTTTCTTGCAAGTGTGAAAACAAGAAAAATTAAAATAATGAAAAAACTATTAAGTTTAGGTATACATTATTATTAATTAAAAAATGACGAATTTAAAACAAAATTTTAAAATAGGGTGTTCTATTAAAAAATACATGTTTTATTCATCGCGGTTTTTTGATCCATCCTCTATACTTTTGAAACAAATGAGATAATGTATCGTTGACTCATTCTGTACTTTAAACCTAATTTTTGATATACTTAGCTTATTAGAACCATTTCCGGCTTACATTTTTTTCGAAAATGGCCGGGCGCTAAATGCTAAAGATTAGTTGGCCATGAATTTGCCTCTAATTAATTTTTAAAGCCTACTTACGTCCCACATAATTATTTGTGCCATTTTTTTTTGCGTTAAAATAAAATTCTTGCCTTTTTGACGGGCATTTTCAGTATTGCTGAATGCCCAATGTTCTGAACTTGACTAGAGTTGCAAAAACAATTTGCCTGCCGCGCAATCACAGTTTTTATTTATCGATGTGTTTCGAAAGTTTCCTACAACCTTCGAATGAGGAAAACTAGCAAAATAATACAAACTAATGATGATGGTGATGATGACTTTAATGCACTTACAAACGACAGAAAGGGAAGAAAACCATCACTCCAGAACGCCAAAAACAACAAAAAAAGTTCTTCGTTAACGACTAACACTGGTACTTCGCTTACCGTTTTCTGCCAAACCATATATCATCGCAAGTATGTAAAAATAGAATTTTAGCGTCGGATTTAAACGTGCAAAGCCTCCCGATTGTTTATCGGAATGTAAATAACGAAAATTTATTATGCCGAGACCATGTTCCAAATCAGTCAACTTTTTATTGGAGGAAACAACGTGCGCAACAGTAGTGGAAGATAAAAGTAAACAAATGTTTTCAAGAAAACAAGCTATTCAACTTTTTTTTTTACTTGGGTACTATGTACACATTACAACCGAATATAGACTTTGCTGTTTTTTGTTATTTTTTTATTCTAAAGGACACTATTTAGCATCGTCGTAGCTTTTCTTCCCTGTACATTTTTATCTTTAATCGCATCGTCCAGAGTTCCATCATTAGGAATATTTACCACCTAGTTACTTGCACTTTGGGCATTCTTTGGCCCATACTAATATATGTCGGCGCCCTTAGCTTTAAGTGGTCGAGACTCTTCCATATTTCGGGTTGGGTGTTATTTGT